AAGAGTAGGCTCGAACGGCGAGGAGTGAAACCTGGACTGATTTGCCCAGTTGATGTATTAGCAGAACTGTTAACAGATCTATAATTCATCCTCAGCCCAGACTTTATTCACTGTAATTACATCTTTAATTAGGATTTTAATGGCTCATTGTTCACAAACAATGATGAATAGGAGTTTTAAAACAAAAAAAATATATATCTCTATTCTGGGCGAGCTGTGAGTAAAAGTCCATCAGGGGCTCCACTCCCCCCTCACTTTTAAGCACTTTTTTTTGGTTTATCTTTCCCCTTGGAGCATCTTTTATAAAGAGGTCCCACTCAGCCCTGTCCCAGGCGGTGGGACCCAGGGCATGTCACCAGGTCAAACACAGCCCCCTGCCAGATCCCTGTGTGCCCTGGGGTGTGTGCTGGCCCTTGGATCCTGCCCTCCAGCAAAGGGACAGGCCTGCGAGCCAGGGTTGCCAGCTCAGTGACATGTGGCAGGAGGGGCTGAGTCCCTCCAAGAGAAGCAGCCACAACCTGCGTCCAGTTTTTAGCAGCCAAGTTGGCTTGGGCAATCATTTCCAGTCATTCTGTTTTTTTCTCTCCATACATGGGAAAAGCTGGGTGGAAATGGCATTTCTGTGTCCCGTGGGAAATTCTGGTGCTCGGAAATTTGGCTGTCTCTTTCCTGACTAAATCAGCCACAGTGTCCGAGCCTTTGGCTAATTGATAGAAGGAAATTTTCTAAACCATTTTGATCAAGGGAGACTGGAAAGGTCATTATGGAGGGCACCAGGAATGTGTTTCTTCATGCCTGTGGTCTGTATGAGATTTAATACATCAGCATGTAGGTAAATTAATGCAAAATGAGGATCCAGATGAAATGTTCCACCTTGATTTTGACTCAGTCCGAAAATTTCCAGTCAAATAACTTGTGAAATTGGCCTCAGCACCCACCAAGGTGCAACTGTGGTATGCTGGGGGGACATGACCCACCCACCGAGAGGATCCCAAAGACAGACCAAGGGCAGGACACTGGTCCGCCTGTCCCTGTGCTCCTCATCTCTTCCAGCCCCCCCTGCCCCCAGCACCACCATTTTGACCCCTGGGTGTTGCTGGACTCCAGCCCTTTGGCCACAGGACTGAGATGGGCAGGATGTGTCTACCCCAGAGGTGCCTGAGGCAGCCTGTCCCCCGTCCCTTCGATCTGTCCCCTCCCTTCGCAGCTGGCATCCCCTTCCTGATGACAGCCGAGCTCTTCATGCAGTCGCACCGCCCAGCCGCGTACATTGTGGGGGGGTCCCTCAACTGGCTCTGCAACTTCACCATCGGCTTTATCTTCCCCTTCCTGCAGGTACCATCCAGAAGGGCATGGGAGGAGGAGGGGATGGACACAGCCCCGCTGCTCCCCCAGGGTGGGGTGCCAAACCAGGCTTAACCCAAGGGGTGCCCACGGTCCTGGCTCAGCTCAGTGCTGGCCAGAGTCAGCCCAGGGAGGGGTGATGGGAGGGGACACTGCCTGGTATCGTGCCCAGCTTGGGGGTCTCTGGCTCTCTGCCATGTCCCTGCTCTCTCGTTGTCCCTAGATGTCAGCTGGTGCATTTTGCTACCTGGTTTTCTGCGGCGTCTGCTTGCTGGTGGCCCTGTATATCTACCTCGTCATCCCCGAGACCAAGAACAAAACCTTCATGGAGATCAGCCACATCTTTCCCCCCCGCCGCTCCTTCCTCTCCGTCCCGGCCCACCTCATAGGCATGATGAAGCTTGATGGCTACGGGGCCTTGGAGGGCAGCTCCCTGGAGGGCTCGGGCTCCAGCCTGCCCTGATGTGGGGGGGATTGGGGATGGTAGAGGAGGCTCAGGGCTGGGGAAGGAAGTTGAGGCCAATTTGCTTGGACTTGATCAACTCTGGGTCTCCAAGGACATCCCACCATGCCACAGCCTGCAGCCAGGGCGAGCCCCAATGATGCACCAAGTGATGTTCATTGCCTTCATGCTGGAAGAGTTGTCCTCCCAGGAATGAGGGGACCTCCTGGGGGCAGGGGGTTCACTTCACTCCTGAGAAGGTGGACTTGTCAAGAGCAAGTTTAATAAAGAGCGTTGTCTCCAGAGCCATCATTTGGCAAGCACAGCCTGGGACAGCAAGCTGGAGAGTGCTGGCATGGGTGGGTGCTTCCCCAGTGCCAGGGAGGAGCAGGATGGGACGGGGGCTTGTCCTCCCCACTGTGCCTGGCTGGAAAGCTCCAAGTTGCCCCAGATGTCCTAGGAAGGTTGGTCAGCGTGGCTCCTGGGCTCTTGTGTCTTGACCTGGGTTTGTCAAGTAAACCCAGAGGCTGTTGCAGAAGGAACATGGAGCAGCTTGGGGTTGGGGTAGACTCTCCAGCCACGTGCCCCTCCACAACCTGCTGGAAGCCCCTTCTGCCTGGGCTTGTGTACTGGCCCTGCAGAGAGTGCTCTTGTGGGACCCCCGCACTCCTGCCCCCTCCAAACTCTGCTGAGGACAAAGGTGTCCCAGGTGCACCCACATCCCTTTGCTGCACCCCATGCATTGCTGTGACCCTGAAGTGCTCTCCAAGCATGACCTCTCCCATGTCTCTGCCCTGAATCCCGGGGTCTATGTTGGGGGCTGCTCTGTTTCCTGGGACTGCCGTGGGCATGGCAGTTGCATGACCTGGGACCCTCACAGCAGCACTCACAAACACTGTGGGGCTGGGGGCTCCCTGGCCAGCAGACCCTCAGGGAGCTATGGTTTGCAGGGAAACTATAATATTTTGCTCTGGTAAGAGGTAAAAGCCAGGGGCTGGGGAGTGCTCTGTGGCCAAACCCCTCTAGTGCCAGTGCAAGTATGATTTATTTTGTGGCAAATGATTTTGCCCTCTTTTTCCAGTTGCCCCCTCTGTGACAGGCCCACAGCTTGCATATTTGGTGCTCATGGTCACTTGGTGAGGAGCTCACCCTTTCCACGTCACTTGACGGGTGCATCTGGGGGGGGTGGGTGGGTGGGTGCTGGGCCCATGGGGATAAGAACTGGGCCATACTGGGTCCCTAGTGCCCAGTCCCAGCCCCTCCATGTTCAGCAGCTGGCTTGGGGCTCTCCTGCATCTCAATCCATTTAAAGGGCATCAGTCAAAGCCGGGGTCACAGCTCCGCAGCATCAGCCACTTCCCACTCCGTCTCCCTCCCGACTCGGCTGCTCCCGGCAGCAGAACAGAGCGGTAAATATGTGCAGCATTACATATGTATAATGGAGTGTAAATAACCCCAAAAAGTGCATTGTAAATAGACTCCAAGTTTATCCTTTATTAATGAGGCACTGAGTGCCCTGCTGTTTTAGAGCAGCGAGACTTTCATAATATCAAAACCTAAATTACACTTGTGTCTCTCATTCCCAGCAAACGACAGCATCATTTCAGGCCTCTTTGCCACTTGTATTTATTTATTCTGGTATTTATTTATCTCTCTCACCCAGCATGCGAGGCAGCTTGGAAGATGCCCCCTGCCCTCCATATGGGAGGCAATGGCCCCCCGGGAGCAGCCCCCCACCCTGGGGTCCTGGCACAGTCAAGGAGCTGGGGTATTGCCTTATGGCCAAGGGCTGCTTTATGCTGGCTGGTGAGACGGGGCAGACCTGGGAAACATAGGGTCAGGACCCATTTCTGCCAGGGCTTCAGACACCACCAGAGCCAGAAGGTGCCGCCCTCTTCCCAAGGACTGGAGGTCACTGGCAAAATCCTATGGTGCCTTTTGGGCGCCTTCGCTCCTGAGGACACTTTTGAGGGTACCATGCCAAGGGACGTGTCCATCCTACTTCCATCAGGACCTGGGAGGTTGGGAGCAAGGAACCCCGTGCTCATGGGACACTAGCTTCTCGTTGGCTTTTTCTTTAGTTTTTTGGGCAGGATCTCTGGGGCTGTCAGTCCAGGATGCCCCCTGACAATGAGCTGGTACTCTTGCAAAAGCAGGATTTGGGCTTCCCCTCTGCTTTCCCTGCCCAGGTAGGCATTCCCAGCTGCTCCACTGCAGGCTTTCTGAGGATATAGCTGAGTAAGTTCTGAGCTGCTTCCCCATGTCCAAAGCAGCTCTCCGGATTCAGGCCTCCAAAAGCACTGGTTCTACTTGGTGAGGGTAAGGCTGTATCCTCTAGCAGTGTCCAAACAGATTTTGAAAGATTGGAGAAGGTGCAAAGAATAATTACGGTGATACCTGGAAACACTTCTGATCCTCTTATCATTTGCAGAAGCAAAAATGAAGGTGACTTTCTCCAAACACAGAAGCGCCTTCTCGTGATGTACCCAATGCTAAAGGGTGGGTGAATTTGAGCACTGGGGTATAAAAGTGGAGGGCTGAAGCTCACCCCAGCCAAAATGAAATGGGAAAGAAGGCCCTGGTTTGAACTCTGCAGATACTTGGGATGGGCTCCTTAAGGAAATGGTCATGGCCCATCACTCGATATCTCCAGATCCCGCAGGGAAGCTCACCTGGAGGGTGCCTGGCTCAGTGTGAATGGTTGCATCCTGACTGGGAAGCTGATAAAAGTTTGCTGGACACACCCTGGTGTCCCTGTGCCAGCAGTGGTGGCTGGTGGGTGAGGCAGCAGGTGTCCCCAGGCCGCAGCTGGACAAGCCGAGGAGCATTCACACCCTGCCAGTGCTCACGGTCCCTATGGCTCCAGCGAGGGTGGGCTCCTGGGGGATGGATCCTGCTAATAACGGGGATCCACTAAGCCTCTGAGGCTGAAAACTTGCACTGATTTCACCAGGTGTCCTAACAGCAAACTGTCCCTGTCATCTCAATGGGGCCGCCTTTGCTCCCCACCCCCAAATCTGACCTGACTGCAGAGGCTCCATCAGGGAGTGGGGTGCAGTTTCTACACGCTCTGGGCAGGGTGAAAACCCTGCTCCTGCCTCCTTTTGTATGGAGAAACGGGAGCTGGAGCAGCACCCTGCTGCCCCACCAAGGTGGGCACAGGATCAGTCCCTGCCTCTTGTCTTTCCAACGGAGAAGAGGCTCCACAACTGAGCAGTCCCACAAGGCAGCCTGCTGCTCGATGGTGCCCAAAACTGCACCGCAGCATCGTGCCCCAGCCCTGGGGACCCCAAAGCAACACTGTGGTGCTGTGGCAGAGGGCTGAGCCCCTGGCACAGCCCCTCCTGGGCCAGGCTGGCACCGTTGTCCCCTTCAGCCCAGGTGGGTCCATGCACGTTGTTCTTGACCGTGCTTCCAGCACAGCAGCCACAGGGATAGAATCCTGGAGGGGGGGCATTGCCTGGAGGGAGGTCAGTTTGCAAACAGCCCCTGTGTCTGCAGCCTGGGCCCAGGAGGCATTTGAGTTGTTGGGGGGGGTGATTTACCACCCACTCCTGCAGGCCCCAGCTGCTGGGGACCCTTCAAAGCAGGACAAAGCTGGCAGAGGAGCCAGCGCGGCGTGGGGCTCCATCACTGGCCCTCTCCAGTTCCTCCTTGGGAGCAGGGGGACGTGCCTGCGGGGCTGCACCACAGCAAGGATGTGATGCATCTGGCAGGATACATCATGGGGAGCAGCCCAGGCTGATGGACAGCTGAGCCCCTGCCAAAGCTTGACGTCAGTGCTCACAGGGGGGCTGAGACTGCAGGATGAGGCACCCCCCATCTCCCACTGCCCACACTGGGGCACTCCGTGTGCCCACCCAGTTACAGCTTTGTGTGCAAACACGCCTTCAGTAAAAGCATGGAGGGGGCAAAAGCTGGGGGAGACCTCTTCCCCTTGGATACTGGATTTGTCCTGCACCAGCCCCTGTGCCCTCCCCAGTGCCCCAGGGCAGGGGTTAAAGAGGCCCTGGCTGCACTTTGGGGATGGCAAAGCTTCAGGTGATGGGCTGGAGCTGCCCCCAGGCACCCTGGGATGGTTCGGGAGGTGGCATAGAAGGGGAGAGAAAGAGACAGCAAAGGAGTGAGACACAGCAAATGATGGAGCAAGGAGCTGGGACCAGCCCCTCTCCACTGCCAGCCCAGCCAGCCCCAGCTCCACGGGCACTGCTCGTGGTAATAACTGCCAGGACACAACTGACCCGGTGAGCAAAGGTTAGGAAATTCCAAAATTAGGAAATTCCCCCCCAGATGGTGAAACACCCTCTCCAGTTTTGGCATAGAGTGGGAGGCTCCCAGCACAGTCCCAGGGCGTCTTCTGCCTGAGAAGGGTGATTTCAGCCAGGAATGGGTCTTCTTGGTGCCTCCTCTTGTTTTTGCTTTGCACGGTGGTGGCAGGAATCCCCCAGAGAAGCGGACAAGGACGTGGGGGTGTCAGTGTGCCCATTCCAGGCACCACAGCCCCACGCACACCCTCACGCTATGGTAAACCTGGGTTGCTCCCAGCTGAAAGTCATCCCACAGCGGGGACTTCCTGGGCTGAGCCCGCAGCTCTCATGTCCTTGAAGTACATAGCCAGCTCCAGCTGAGCCTGCAGTTCACACGGACTTTGGTCAAGAGCTTTTTTGCAGGGAAAACCTAAAATGGGTGATTTTTTTTACTGTGTTCTAGATAACGGGCACTCAGCTGAAACAGCACTTCGGAGGGGTGGAGAACAGTGATTTGTTTCTTTGCAAAGCCTGAAATATTTCCTCGGCATCAACCAGACCCGGCCCAATGTCTTAAAAAAAAAAAAAATACAATGAACAATTTAAGGGTGTATTTGGGGGAAAAGAAAAAGTGTTTGTTACCTTATAAAAACATAATAATTCTGCGTTAATGCCTGAAGGTCCATGGCCAGTGCTCTGCAGGAGCAGGTCTCTGCAGTGGGTGCAGGGGAGTTGGTGCGGGGTGCGGGTGCCCGGCATCGGGGTGGCCAGGGC